ACAAGCTTAACTAAACATTTGCTTCACATCCTGTAGTAAAGTCATTCAAAAAAATGTCCAGTCACTCACAAATTCGACATTGCAATTTAGAAAAGTTCAAAAGGCAATTATTATTTTTGTAGGCATTTAATATGGTCATTTCTTCTTCTAACATATTTTATTTTATTTTTACAGACTTTGTCATCTTTATTTTTTCTTTTTTCGTCCTAACATTTTTACATTATTATAAACAACTTTTTTTCCCTTATTTTTAAGATTATATTAAAAATTACGAACAAAATATATTTTTCTCGTTTTTGTAAAATTACACAGTAGATTGTAAATATACTATAATATACTATGGTAACCTATGGGGCCCTTTTGGTTTGCTTTATTAGGCTAGATGAGATTCATTGTACCTGTTTGTATAACATTTGGTTTGTTGGACCAAGTTGATAAGTGGGCCCATCATTATAATCACCTAATTGAATTATTATTTGTCCACCCAAACTTGGCTTGACAACTTATCACCAAAATAATCCATCAGCTGGTACCATGGCAATGTCGAAATTGCCCTTATAACTTGCAATAATTACAAACTATTAGATATAAATAGCCATTTTCTTCTAAATCCCCATTTTCATCTCGAGCCCTAATCTTACCAGGTGAGAAGAACTTCGTAAGAAGTGATATGTTTCTGTAAGAAACAATTTGTTTATAAGGTGGGTACTGTTGATGAGTTGCTATTTACTTGTAAGATTTAATTCTTGTACTTTACTCTGGTTCTTGAAATCGACCATTTGTGATTTCAACGGAAAACAGAGGTGCCCATTACTTGATTTGCCCCTATGCTGGTTCTTTTTCTTTTAATTTTTTTTTTTGTCGTAAATGGTTCTCTTTATGTGATGAAGTTACTTCGAATTTTGTTTTCCCGATGCAATTCATTCGAGAGAAAAAATGTGCTTTTGGACATAAAATTTCTAATGAAGAATTGTTAAGTTTGCATTGAATCTTGAATGCTAGTGACTTTCTTTTGTATAGGGGATGACTGGAGTTGTTAATTTATGATTTTTTTTTTTTTTAAATTGGGTTTTGCTTTGACTTTTTGGGTATTTTTTTTGGTTTTTTTTTTGTTGTTAAATATGATGGATCAAGAAATGAAGTAACTCTCTCCAGTTGGGAACGAATTCATGAGAATTTGTTTGTCTATTCTTAGACAATATCTGTAGAGTTGTATGGGAGTATGGAGAGCATGATTTTTGTTTTAACCACTACTATTAGTTGATGATATTTTTTGATATATATACACACTCAAATTGTGATCAGTATTGTTCTATTTCGAAAAATTGCAGTTGCTGCCTTGCTGGAGCTTTCGAGGTGTGGCCACAGTTAGTGGAAAAAAAAAATCCTAAATTTAGAAGATGTTACAATTTAGACACATTACTGTGATCTACTTGAACACAATATTACATACTCATATCACTTTTGGTCAAATAAAGGCCCTATCAGTTCCAGTCGGTGAAGCCATGGGCCATAAATTAAGGATTCAATCGGCAAATGCCCTATAACAAATGCATCTCCTTTGAAAGTATACTTTTTTTTTCTTTTTTTTTTTTTTATATATTTTTTTTCTCCCTTGAATGTTTCTTACAAGTGTTTAGAAGTTTGTTTATGTATTAAAAGTAATTAAAGAAAATTGGGCTAGTGTACTTTTGTTTGAGTAGGTTGTTTGAATCGATTATCCGAGGCCTGAGCTTGACTACAGTCATTTGGAAGCTGTTTTGTTATATACTTGAATTTAAGGGCATTTCAGTCATTTTCAAATAAAAAGACATAATACTATAAAATCAAGCATACAAAACATCAAATTGTTCATCAAGAGATTATTAATTTCATGACAATACCACCAACCAAAAGTTGGTCATCACTGTTATTATTCATCAACATTTTAGTCCGAGTACTACATATCCCATCTCTAG